GTAGGTAACTACCTAGGTACGTTTTAAATTTTTTGATACAAGTCTTTACAATCGTTTTATTTGCTTTTTAGTGGTCCCCATAGGAAAGTACTGTGGGGGCGTACGCGCGTGACGTAATAAGAAAGGAATTCGGGGAAGGCCCAAATATGGGCATACAAGCAGGTGTGGTCATGTTTGCAGATGTGGCTGTTGATTGGCTGTTGGCTAATTAATTTATTTACTACCATTTTCACGTACCAGCGCAGCTGGTCCACGCGGTCTCGGCCGTGGGCCATGATACTCTGATATTGGATACCGATTCGTGTGATTCCTATAAACATTTCACCTAACTACGAACTAGTTGGAAGAATTATAGCTGCATGGATGCCTGTATATGATTTTAACAAACACTGAAAATCTGACGCAAAAACTGGCAGATATTTTGCTCTTCTCTGTTGGAACAACGCAAGCGGGAGGTCAATGACCTGCGCCCCGCGAGTACTGTAAACAACGATACGCGCGCGCCACGGTATCAACAATTTTCCACAATCTTCACCGACTAGTATTATATATTCTGTTATCGATTTCTGAAGAATCACCAAAATTGTAGAGTGTAACGCTATCTCCTAGAAAGTCCATTACTAGTACTTGAAGCGATCGTTACCGCCATGTTGTTCACTTTATATGACATACAATGCAGAGAGTAATGGAAACGTGTCCAGATAGCTCGGTTGGTAATGCGCAGGGCTGCAAGTCCAGACATTACGAGTTCGAACCCCGGTACACTGGATATTTTTAATTATCCTTTTTACAATTTTTAACAATTTTAACATTTTTAACAATTTCAACAATTTTAACCATTTTAACCATTTTACATTTTAACAATTTCAACATTTAATTTTAACATTTTCGTTTTAATATCCATTGCTTTGCTTTTAACATTCCAAAACTGATTGTTCTTACTCAAGAATTTCAATAACTTCGAATGTTAGTCTTTTGTATTTTTTCAACATACAAACCAAAATGACTTTGATGTTGTCACAAAAGTAACATCTGTGCGCGCATCGGTTTTCGTTCATTTAAAAACTACAAGTACAAAACATCTGGAAACTAAGCAAACATACTCAGTAAATTGATTGCTGTAATTCCCGATTTTTTTCACTGTACCGCAACGCAAGCGGGGGGTCAATGTTCACGGTTTTCACTGTCACCTCTGTATTGTGAACTTATCATTACAGTTAGGAAATAATTCCCGGACTCAAGTTCTTTTTCCTGCAACTGTCACCACCGTGAATATATACTTCCATGAACATGTCCATTTTTCTCAGGCCGTGAAAATTTTGCTTCCGTTAGTAGTAGTTACAATCTCGTCAAAAGTGTAAAGTAAAGCTGTCGAGATTTAAAGTGCGTGTCGTTGTATCTTTGTAAAAAAAAGGGAGATGATTGCCAAGTGCCAGTTTTGTAAATACCTGTCGAGATTCAAACAGCTTGTCCTTGTATAATTGCAGTATGATTTATTTAGAATCTCTCATTTTTGTTTGGGGAAGGGTATGGAGTGAAATTCCTACATTTGCTCCGAAGCAAATGTTGGCCTTTCTAGTGTTTCTCATTCTTTCCCTGCCATGTCGTAAAATGAGGTGAACCCATCGCTATATTTGCTCCAAAGCAAATATTGGCCTTTCTAGTTGGCATTTTTTTTCTCAATCGTCCCGATGTACTCGTATAACGGGAAAATAATGGTGTCTGGGGTTATACCCATCTATATTTAATTGCTGCATAGTTTGACACAAAAATTTGGTAGGTGGAAGATAATACGACGCTTTATTTTTAAACGTGAAATGTTCTAATACTCTATTAAGAATAATTTCGTGTCTCATCATATCAAGTCCACATCGTATCGCGTGTTTCCTGTTGTAGCATACTCAGATTTCACGGGATGTTTGTAATACTTATCTGACCGTGACCGGGTACGTGATGGTGGCCTCATTTCCCCTTTCAGACCCTCCGTGTTGTTGAAACGAGACTCCCCTGGTCCTTCCCGCCACCTGCAGGTCCAAACCTGCAACGTCACGTTCGCAACCAAACTGCACTGTCGTACAACGCGCCTGTCAATCACTCACGTCTTCCCGCCAAATAAACGGTTCTGACAGTGGATTTCTCTCCGCGGTCAGAACTGTCTGTTGAAGACGGACGTCAGAGAAGTGCTCCGATGAAGACGGACGTCAGAGAAGTGCTCTGAGGGAAAAGCTGGCGCCTCGGGCCTTTCATCTAGAGGACTCCTGCTGGGTAAGTACCCAGGGTTAGCAGCCGGGACTCAGGTGGTCTGTGGGGGCACTGGGGGAGGGTTTCTCTGTGTATAGCCTGTGCCATAACTGAGGACAGGATGGGCTCTTAAACGGTCATGATGACTGATGATGTCGTATGATCGCGTTGTCTGGAGCGAAAGGTAGGTACGAGCCTGGAATATTTATCTTGTTAGCGGTACATGCAGGGCGTTCTCAGTCACTAATCGCGCCCAGCTTGGGCTTTGGCGATCAGAGTGAAGCTTGTACCCGATGTCTAGAAACGTGCACACAGTCCCAGATGTGGCGTGTGCGGGAGATCCTTACCGATAAATTGGTGGCAAATTGGTAGTAGGATATACTCATGACACAGGTGGACCGACCGGATTGACGTTTTCCGGAAAGTGTATGCGTGGGTAAAACCGGATTTCAAATCCCTCGGCAGTGCGAAAATTTTAGGCAGGCTTTATCAGTCTAGCTACGGTCCTGAATTTTTGAAAACCGTGTCCTGTGGCGGTGCCATATGTAGGAATGAGTGGTTAACAGCCCTGTGTGTGTGTGTGTGTGTGTAGTAGTTGTTCCCACCCGCAGGCGAAGACAGCACCGAGACGGGGGTTGTGACTACACACAGTCATCCCCTGTTTGTCCACGTGTCTAGACGAGAACATAATGGCCGGAAAATGACGCAGAGATGCTTTCAAATTAGAAGGCTTTTGTGCTTAGCACGTTACGTATAGCTTACTCTCTCACAAACATACACACACA